CCTGGGGGCTCCCGTCAGAGGCCAGGCCAACAGTGAGCGCTCTCCACTATCTGAGATCTTATCTTCCGCTCAGGAAAAGAAAGAAGACTCCCTTTCTCTCTTGAGTTAGTTAGGGTCTATCAAAAGGAAGGTAGACCCTGAGACTTTGGAATACTAGTTCCACTCTCTGCAGTCTTTGAGACCCTAAAAGGAGAAAAGAATCTGATCAATCGTGTCCATCCTGTCTGCTTGGATGTTATTTTCCTCTGTACAAGATCCATGGTCTTGGCCATACGGTTCTTCTAAGATGGAAAGAACAGCTTTTCTCATTGCTCTTATGAGGGAGAAGTGCCTTCCTCTGAGAACCTGTGGGAAACTTAAAGATTATCCCTAAATCCAGGTCCTTAGCCCCATACTGGTCAAGCCCTGAGGTCCCTAGCTGCCACACTTCTTCCAGTAAGATAGACAGTGAAGGGGCTGGGGGATGGAGGGACAGTACTGTTTAGGCAAAAAGAATTAGCTTGGATTTGGAGTCAGAGAAGAATTCCATTTTTGCCACTAATTAGCTTAAGGACTGTAATTTCTCTGAAACACCCTGCCTTATGGGGTGGTGGGGGTGAAGGGAGCTCGTATAGGGAGTGCAGTGAGCCCTACGCCTGCCTCAAACCATGATTTCAGGTTCCAGTGGGACCAAGTCAAAGTGGCAGTAGTTCTGCTAGTGTCCCAAGTCATTCCTTTACCAGAGCACCAGTCCCTCGTCTGCAAGTCCTGCCATTCTACCTCCTCTGGACTAAGGGGGAAGGCCTGATTTTCTGTACTCCATCCTCACCCCCTGGCCAGTTCTCTCTGGAATCTGCTCTCCTGAGCAGCCATACTACCCACTGAGGGCTGAGGGGCAGGGGAGGGCAGGGGCGGAGCAGGCTGAGCCCTAGGGTCCAGGTGCACCTGGAAGAAGTTCAGCATATATCAACAAATAGTTCCTCAGTTCCATGTACATTTTAAAACATCTGTAAGGATAGATACCAAAGTATAATTATTTCTAGGTAGGTAGAATATGGATATTTTAATTTTTTCCTTTTGACACATATATTTCTAGTACTTTAGTCATAACTTCAAATTGTTTTCAGAATAAGACATAAGATTTATTTTAAATTGCAAAAGAAAATACAATTTATTTTATGATTTTTCCTCCATTTCTGCTACCTGGCTGGGACAGCTGTGCTGCAGAGTGGAAAGTGTGTAGGGAGAACACAGGCCTCACAACTAGAGAGGCCTGTTGGGGTCTTATCACTACTCCTGACCAGCTGGGTGACCTGGAGCATGAGACTTCTTAGCAAACCCAAGGAGAACAGTGGTACTTGTGTCAAACAGTGGTAACACAGTAAAAATCGTTACTGGGTAAGAACACCACAGGTTTAGGTCAGACAAACCTGGGTTCAAATGGTAGCAACTGCCACATACTAACTTTTTGACTTCACCAACTTAAGTTTGAGTTTCCTCCTCCTTCATACAGGTAATAATAACACTGTCTAACTTAGTCATGTTATGGGCATTATTGAGATAATCAAAATAGAGTTCTTGGCCCAGTTCCAGAAACACACAGGAAGCTCAAAACAAATAGCCTTTTCCTCCTTCTCAAAGCAAGAGACAGTTGGGAAAGTACAGGAGGAAAGGGAGGTGCAGAAATCAGAGGGGAGAAAAGGAGAGCAAAGAAAGAAGAAACCAGAGGTCAAGGTCTCTCTAGCCCAGATGATCTTTATTCTCCTCTGGAACAGAGGTGCTGTCACAGTCTCCTTACTCCATTCTTCCAACACACATATGATTCTAGTCCTTCCAAAAGCAAAAGAGGCAGACCAGTCTCTGTGGCCACGCTCTCATGAAGCCCCTAGGTACCCTGCTGGCATCCTCTCAACAGTGTCCTCCTTCTGCCCTAGCAAAGACTCCATAAAGCACTGATTTCATAATCTCTTCTTTCTCCCCAGACCCAGGCAGAGGAGAGTCAGGACCCCACATGCTGAGCATCCAGAGCTATTGGACTAGTGGGTACTAGAGTTCAGGGTCATCTTCTTGGCACAGCCATATTCTCCCACATTACCACCAGGGGAAGGACTGGAGAACAGCAATTGGGTTTTAGAAGAGTTCTGCAGTCATCAGCTGTAAGAAGGCCTAGCATATCTTGAGTCACTTATTAATTTAAACTTCTTGCCTCCTCTGTCCATAACTGGGGTTCTCTAAGGGATGGACATTTAGTTGTGTGTTTTCATGTGTGATGGAAGCTGGGGGTGTTTCCAACATTGCCACAGTCAACAGAGTGACTGGATGAGTGGCAGGATTATGAAGACTGATATTTCTTCCCCCGTAAGTGTGAGATAGAGGGAAGCAGGTCCCTAAAGGACAGAGAAACTTCAGTGCCTGGACAGGAGGGCTCATAGGGGCACTCAGCCCTTTCTTTCTTGACTTCCTTCTGCTTGCTTTAAATCGGTATGAGTCTTTGGTGAAAATCAGAGCTCCCAGAGCAACGGAGCCACCCCTGAGAGGTGTAAGGGAAATGGTTTTTAGAGAGGGGCACCAACTGCGGCTGGAGAAGACTGTGGACAGGATGAGGGGACCTCATGTGCATGCCCTATCTGACTGAAGGCCACTCACCATTTTCTTCCCCAAAAGGGAGTTGATAAGGGAGGGAATCCCTACAAGGTGGGATTCCTCCTTTAATTCTAAGAAGTCCTCACTATTTCTTCCCACTGTTTACAGAGGGAATATTTCTCTTCTCTCCCCCACAGCCAAAGCCAGGGTAATTGGCAAGTTTCAACTCTATGGAAAGGATTCTTGCAAATTTTTAAGCCAAGGAGTTTGAGGAGTGTGGAAAGGGAGGAGGTCATTGGAATGGCCTGCCCAGGAGAAGTGGGTAAAAGGAGCCAGAGGCTGTGGACAGAGTAGGGAGAAAGACACACATGTGTGGGGGAGGGGAGGGTGCAACAGCTGGATGGAGAAAGTGAATGTCACAGCTGGAGGGGATTAGGAGCATCACAGCTGGAAGGGGAGGGGACCCGCGCCTGAGTACCCAGGAACAGGTGCTCTCTGCTTGTAATTTTCAGGTCCTGCCCGGTAAGTGTCGATGGGGGAGAGGGAGACTGGGAACACCAGGCCTTGCCCTTCCTTTCCTTCCCTGGAGGGGCCAAAACTCTCCCTCCTCCTTCCCTCTTGGGGGTGAGTGGGAGGAAAAGAGGATGTTCTCTTGCCCCCTGTCCTTTAAGTCTGTCCCCCAATCACCCCCACCCCCACCCTAATACAATCCTTTCCAGCCCTGGAGGCCCTTCGTCTCCAAGCTGGGCCGCAGCATCCCTCTGCTCGGTTCTCCTCCTTCCCAGCCCCACAAGCGTCGGGTCCAGGTTGCCAGTTCCTCCATCCCCACAGCCTCAGCATCTCCTCAGCATCTCCGCGCCATCTCCTCCAACCAGGCCACATCTGCATCCCAACCCTCCCTCCACACCCAGATCCCAGGACCCGCACCCATCCTTGCCCCCCACCCCCCAGAACTCGGCCAGGCTCTCACCTCGGGGGCTCCGCGGCCGCAGCACAAAAGGCGGCGCTGCTGCAGCTCAGCTCCGGATGCTGCTCCCGCCTCCTCCTCCTTCTCCTCCTCCTCCTCCCCCCGCTGCCCTCCACCGGACCCGGGGCGCTGTCACTAGCGATGCTCGGGCGATGTCCGGGTGCACGGGCGTCTGCCCCAGCTTTTTGCCCCCACCCCTTGACCCCTAGCCAGTCCCCACTCGGCTTGAACTCCCGCTCCTTCCAAGGCCCCCGCCCCTGGCCCCCCGGGACGGACACGCCCTGAGCGGAGGATGCTGCGCTGGAGCCGCCGGCCTCTTAAAGGAGCCCGCTGCTGCCATCAGCGCGCTCCAGGTTGGTCCCTGGCCCGCCTGGGCCCCGCACCTTCCTGCTGGAGGTGCCCTGTGTGTGGGGGGTCCCACCTTGGGCCTTATGCTGATTCCATAGGAACCCCCTTTGACTCTTCCTTACACCCCGAGAGAGCAGCCCCTCAGATGGGATTCTCAGCGCTCTAGCATTGCTCCCCTGTCAGAGATCTTGCCTGCTCTTTCCCATAATTGTCACAACTCCAATTTCATCCAATTGGAATGCGCTCAGCTCTAGGCCTGCTCCTCCTCCAGTGTTCCTGGATGACCCCTCACTGTCATTCCAAGATTCCTCTGGACCTCCAACCCTGGCTCAGAACAAGACATCTCTTCCTTGACTTATTCTCAAAACACTCATTAAAATCACTTTTTTTTCTGGTGGGTGTGATTCTCTCTCTCCCCAAGGTCACAAGATTTCCCCTATATCTTTCAGCCCAGTGGTTGCGTGAATTTGAGAAGGAAGAGAATGGGGCTCTGGGACCCCCAAATACGTGTCTGTCGGCACTTAGTCGATTATCTTAGGTGTCCAGACTTCCCTCTTGCTTTCTTCAGCGGAGAGACCCAAGATTCACGACAGAGGAAATGAGACCTTCAGGTGCGGCAGTCCTTCTTATCTTGTCCCATGAGTACAGCCTGACTCTAAGGCCCCTGGAGGTTCCTAGGGAGTAAAGAGAGGTTTACAGGGGCCATTCTAAAAAGGCTTTAGAATAGAAACAAAACCTGAAGGGAGATGAAGAACGTAAGGAAGTTTTTGTGACACCGAGGCCAAAGGGCTAGGAGCTTAGGATACGAGTTGAGAGGGAACTATTTGAGATGGACACAGATCTACAACTCCAGCGCCCGCGGAAACAGAGAACAGTCGCCTGTCGCGACTAGATTAAGGTCCACCCTCCCATACCACAAGGAGCCATGATCCGACAGCAGCATCCCCGCACCAATCACCACCTTTTCTTAGGAAAGAGGCGGCAGGGTCAAGGAGGGGCTGACTTTTCCTTGTCCCCGCCCATTTAGGCAAAGTAACCAATCTCATTGTGCCTGGAGGACGTATATGCAATCGGAATAACCAATTACACCGCGAAGCTTCTGGTGTGTGTTAACACTGCCCACCCAGCTGCGACAAGAATGGCGCGGGAACTCTTGGGTTCTGTAGTTTTCTCGTGATTCAAAAGGCCCGCTGCTCGAGTTAGCTTTTATCGCCCCGCAAGCCGCTTTTCACCGCCCCTAGTATGTATGTCCATGGCCTCACGACCCAAGAGAGGGGAGATGCGAAAGGAAGGAGGCGAGACGATATTGAAAAAGCAAATAAATAGCCTTCGTTCCAGGTGCGACAGCGGAAGGGTCCGCTCCTCTAAAAGGTTGTGCAGCCAGCTTGGGCGAAACACGCGGAGGGTTATGGGGCGAATAGCTCTCCCCTCGATGGAAACCTACGAAGGAAGGTGGGCGGGGGACTCCATATCCCAGCGTGCCCCGCGCCGGGCCCTGCCGGCCGCGACTCCGGGCTTGGCCCCGGCCCTAGCTCGTCTGTGGTGTACTGGGACGCGTGGAGGCTACAGTCACGGTGGCGCCCGCGGGGACGGAGGAGGGAATGAGTGAAGAGGAGCAAGGCTCCGGCACTACCACGGGCTGCGGGCTGCCTAGGTGAGCCGCCTCGTACCAGTCCCTGCAGGGCGAAAAACGTGGGGCGGTGCGGAGTGTGTAGCTGCGCGGCCCCAGCATGCACCTGGCCTGGGGGTTGTTCCCGGCAAGCACCGGGATAGTGGGCAGTGGTTCCCGGCATTCACCGGGGCTGTGGCTACTACCTTCAGCTTTAAATAGTTTGGGGTTGGCCTGGTTCCCAGCCTGCACTGAAGCACTGGGCTTTATGCCGCCACGTTCTAGTGCATTTGGTGGGTACTGGGTTCCTGGCCTGCAATGTGTCAGGGGGCATGCACTTCAACCTGCACTGGGGCACAGGATCCCTGCCTTAACTGTGACAGGAACAGAACAATGCATTCCCTCCTTGCCTTGGGGTAGTGGACCCTGCTTTCCCAGCCTGCACCTCCACTTGGAACCCAGCCAATGGATGCTATACTGTCTGGGGTCCCCTGGACCCTATGTTCCACTGATATCCTAGGTCTGCTATGGCAGTGCTTGGCCAAGTGGGTGCAGAGAGGGGAAGTGTGATGTGGGTCTGTGCCCCTTCCCCCAGTATAGAGCAAATGCTGGCCGCCAACCCAGGCAAGACCCCGATCAGCCTTCTGCAGGAGTATGGGACCAGAATAGGGAAGACGCCCGTGTACGACCTTCTCAAAGCCGAGGGGCAAGCCCACCAGCCTAATTTCACCTTCCGGGTCACCGTTGGCGACACCAGCTGCACTGGTGAGGAAGGCTTGGGCAGCCTGGCTGGGGTGTGCATTCACAGGGCCCCGTGGCTTTGTTTATTGGAGTCTCTCTCTTCACAGTCTTCTTCAAGGCCAGTGAGGGAAGGAGAGATTTCAGGGGAAAAGCTACTGACTGCATTGGGAGAACAGGGCTGTGAGAAGGTGGGTAGGACTTGGGAGAGTTAGAGGAGCGAGCAGGACTGCCACAGTGATCCGACAGGTCTTCATCACCCCAGAGGAAAAGAGATAAACTGGTATCTCAGTGGAGCAGTTGGAGTGACTGCCTTCTGTGTTGGGCTCTGTTCCAGGTGCTTAACCAAATTTGCATTTAATCTTAAGCCTCAGTCTAACCAGTGATGTGGGTGTTAGTATACCCATGTTGGGTATGAGGAAACTGAGTATTAGTGATAGTGACTTGTGCAAGATCACATGGTCTAGTGAGCAGCAAAGCAGGGCTTTGACTCCAGAGCCTACCTTCTCTTTTTTCAGCCATCTCTATTTATTGAGGGAAAAGAAAGTGCCTTGCAAAGGAAAGTAAGGCAGCAATAGAATCTCTACCTAAGGTGTTTGAGCTCAGAAGTCCTGCCTGGCATGGGTTGATTCTGAGAGCTAATGGAAAGATAAGGGCTCGTCTTCTTCCTTCTTTTTTTTTTTTTGAGACAGAGTCTCACTTTGTTGCCCTGGATAGAGTGCCCTGATGTCCTCAAACTCTTGGGCTCAAGTGATCCTCTTGCCTCAGCCTCCCAAGTAGCTGGGACTATAGGTGCCTGTAACAATGCCCAGCTATTTTTTAGAGACAGGGGTCTCAGCTCTTCTTGCTCAGGCTTATCTCGAACCTGTGAGCTCAAGCAGTCCACCTGCCTTGGCCTCCCAGGGTGCTAGGATTACAGGCGTGAGCCACCATATGATAAGGGCTCTTCTTTCAGCAATTATTGAAACACTTGATTCACTGGGAGGAGGTTGGTCATAGGGGGGCTTGGTTGACTCTCTCTGGCTGCAAGGAGAGAGGCTGTGGGATTCTGGTTTCTCTTCTGTCCTTCCAGTGACCTCCAGTATTGCTCACGCCCCCTCTCTCAGGTCAGGGCCCCAGCAAGAAGGCAGCCAAGCACAAGGCAGCTGAGGTGGCCCTCAAACACCTCAAAGGGGGGAGCATGCTGGAGCCGGCCCTGGAGGACAGCAGGTGAGGGAGGAACAGCCAAGGCATCCTAGAAGCCCTGCCAGGAACCCAGGCCCCTGCACCAAACCTTTTTTCCCTTAGGGCTGGCCTGGTGACAGTTAGCCACCCTGACCTGGCCTCTTCCTAATAATTTTCCTCTGGACCCAAACAGGGTACTTCTAAGGCTTTTGCTTTGTGAAGAAGTCTGGGGGGAATAGGCAGTCCCATTGAGGAGTTGTGGCTGTAGTTTGGGCCCGGGTTAGGGAGGGAAAGGGGCGGAGATTGAGGCTACAATTGCTCTCCACATTGCCTCCTGATTCCAGCCAGATGTCCTTTCCTCTTTCACACTTGGGTTGGAGTATGTTTCTCCCATGGTTCTTGGGTACAAAGAGATCCCCTTTTCTCAGTCTTTTTGATCTAGTGTTTGGCATGAAGGATACCAAAAGGAGGAAGTTGTTGATTGACCCTCCCTGAGTCCTTGGCTCAATTGGGAAAGAGTTCTCTTAAGGCATGGGCAGGTCAGGAGGACCTGGGTTCCCCACCCCTCCATTTCCCCTACACGGGGTTTGAATCAAAGGCCCCCTTTCCCTCGGGAAGTTCTTTTTCTCCCCTAGACTCTTCACAGCCTGAGGACGTTCCAGTTTTTACTGCTGCAGCAGCTGCAACTCCTGTTCCATCTGCTGTCCTAACCAGGTATCTGTATCCCCTGACTGCCTGAGGGGTCAAGGAAGGGGTCCTGACTCCTGGCCCCTCAGCCCTTGGATCCAGGCTGGTCAGGCATGAGGAAGTCTGAGCGCAAACAGAATAGAATAGTTTGGAACCAGATTGTGAAGAATTTGCACCAACTGGTAAGCTCTTGAGCAAGAAGTAATTTATGATTTTTTTTTTTTGAGGCAGAGTCTTGCCCTGTCACCCAGGCAAGAGTGCCATGGTGTCAGCCTAGCTCCCAGGACTCTCAAACTTCTGAGCTGATCCTCCTGCCTCAGTCTCCTACAGGTGTCTGCCACCAGGCTCAACTAAATTTTTTATTTTTAGTAGAGACAGAGTCTTGCTTTTGCTCAGGCTGGTCTCAAACTCTTGAACTCAAGGAATGCTCCCACCTTGGCCTCCCAGAGTGCTAGGATTACATGTGTGAGCCACCATGCCTGGCCTGATTTATGATTTACAAATAGTCATGTGGATGATGTTTGGCCATTTTTAAAGGTTGCAGGGCCCTTTTTCTTTTCTTTTTGAGACAGAGCCTCAAGCTGTCCCCCTGGGTAGAGTGCCATGGCATCACAGCTCACAGCAACCTCCAACTCCTGGGCTCAAGCGAGTCTCATAGGCGCCTGCCACAACGCCCAGCTATTTTTTGGTTGCAGCCATCATTGTTTGTTGGGCCCGGGCTGGATTTGAACCCGCCACCTTAGGTGTATGTGACTGGCACCTTAGCCACTTGAGCCACAGGTGCCAAGCCTCAGGCCCCTTTTTCTTCTGGGTTGACCACATGATGGTCCCATGTTTGCATCTCATCAGGTGCTTCTGGGGATTTGCTATATGACCCACCTCCTAACCATCCTGGTGAGATGGTACCCAAGTGTTCCAGAATTGAAGTGGGCCTGGGACCTAGGGCCCATGAGTAGAAGGTGAAGGAAGCAGGCAGGGCAGAGAGCTGCCTGCCTGGTGTGTAATCAGGAGATGGTAGTGGGAGAAACTAAACCAGTGGTTAAGGCCTTGGGCTCATAGGTAACCTCAGAAGGAACATGGCTCTGGGTCCTTTCTCCTTCAGGAACCCTCCCATGGAGATGCAGCCTCCTGTCTCCCCTCAGCAGTCTGAGTGCAACCCTGTTGGTGCTCTACAGGTGTGCCCATTCCTCATTTTCCATGCATGCCTGTCTTCCCTTGAACCATGGGCTGTGAGGGAAGGTTATCTTGTACTCAGGGTTTTTCTTTTCTTTTCTTTTTTTTTTTTTTTGAGACGGAGCCTCAAGCTATCCCCCTGGGTAGAGTGCCATGGCATCACGCTCACAGCAACCTCCAAGTCCTGGGCTCAAGCGAGTCTCCTGGCTCAGCCTCCCAAGTAGCTGGGACTACAGGCGCCCACCACAACGCCTGGCCATTTTTTGGTTGTAGCCATCATTGTTGTTTGGCAGGCCCGGGCTGGGGATTCGAACCCGCCACCTTAGGTGTATGTGGCTGGCGCCTTAGACGCTTGAGTCACAGGCGCCGAGCTGTACTCAGGGTTTTTCTGTCCCACTCTTGTCTTTCCTCTCACCTAGAGTCTGAGGCTCCGGGGGGGAGGGTGGGTACTAGTGTGATTATGAGGATCCTTTTCTCACTCAGCCTTATGCATCCTATCTCTCCCCCAGGAGCTTGTGGTGCAGAAAGGCTGGCGATTGCCAGAGTACACAGTGACCCAGGAGTCTGGGCCAGCCCACCGTAAAGAATTCACCATGACCTGCCGAGTGGAGCGTTTCATTGAGATTGGTAACTGGGCAGATGGGGGTGTCACAGCTCCTATCTGTGGCACTCCAGCCCCAGCTACAAGGCCACTCTGAGGCTCACTCTGCCACACCCCTGCTCTCCTTGCTCCACAGTCCCTGGTTTAGTGCCTCCCTCCCAGCTGCTGCTTTGTACCCTGTCTCTTCCCTCTTCTATCTGACTGGGTTCTCAGGTGCAAGGGCAAGTCCTGAGTTCCTTTTCCATTTGACATCCATTGGAAGGAGTCTCAATCCAAATAGTTCTGCTGGGAATCGTAACTCAGCAACTCTCTCCCCACACACAGGCAGTGGCACTTCCAAAAAACTGGCAAAGCGTAATGCAGCAGCTAAAATGCTGCTTCGAGTGCACACAGTGCCTCTGGATGCCCGGGACGGCAATGAAGCAGAACCTGATGATGATCACTTCTCTATTGTGAGTGTGGGGGCCAGGTGTCATGGGCCACTCCATGCCAGGACAGGACATCAGGGGCTTGGGTCTGTGACTCCAGAATAAGCCTCTCTGGGTCCCATGCCTGCTTCACCCCAGCTTCCTTGGGCCCACTCTGGGCCTCGACTGTAGGCCCATCTGCTGAGTTAGCCCGTGGCAGGGGTCTTTTTGATTTCTTTTACTGGGATGAGGGAGGCTTCCTGGCCATAGTGAGATGGGCCAGGCAGGAATTGATTGGGGGGAGGCAACCTGAAGGAAGCATTTTTTGGGCTTTTTTCTCCTTGGCCATTGAATGTCTAAGTGCCTGGATCCCACAGTTTCTAGCTATCCCCATCTTATCAGGGTGTAGGCTCCCGCCTGGATGGACTTCGGAACCGGGGCCCAGGATGCACCTGGGATTCTCTGCGAAACTCAGTGGGAGAGAAGATCCGGTCCCTCCGCAGTTGCTCCCTGGGCTCCCTGGGTGCTCTGGGCCCTTCCTGCTGCAGTGTTCTCAGTGAACTCTCTGAGGAGCAGGCCTTCCATGTCAGCTACCTGGATATTGGTATGACTAGTTGGGAGCTAGGGGATGGTGGGCCTGGAACAAGCAAGTACAAGGGGTCAGGAGGGGATGACAATGTGGGAATGCACCTTTCTCTTCTCACCCACCACTGCCTCCCTCCTCTTTCCTGGTCTCCAGAGGAACTGAGCCTGAGTGGGCTCTGCCAATGCCTGGTGGAACTGTCCACCCAGCCAGCCACCGTGTGTCATGGCTCTGCAACCACCAGAGAGGAAGCCCGTGGTGAGGCTGCACGCCGTGCCCTTCAGTACCTCAAGATTATGGCGGGCAGCAAGTAAAGCCCCAGCTGGACTCATGGATGTGCACCCTTTACTCCCAGCTCTTTCACCCTTGGGGCCCATGCATTTGCTCAGCTCTGGTACCCTCTGAAAGTGCCATCGCTATCTCTGACACAGACTGCCTTGAGGTGAAGGAAGGCAAAGCAAGGAGCCAGGGACCACAGGGCCTGAGCCAGCTCAGGATCCATCCTCACTTGATTGTTGATGATGACAGTGAAATTGCAGCTTCTCTACTAAAGCCCAGAATAAATGTGCTGCTCCTCAGATTCTTCAGTCCTGTTCTGTATCCCTGTGGAGTATGAGGTGAATGGCAGAGGTCAGCACCATGTTAATTCTTCCTAGTGGCAGGAGGCTGCATGTGGTGAACTCCAGAACCCTATCAACCCCATTCCTTGAGAGTTTGGTTTGGTAGAGATGGCGGGGTGGTCTTTCTTCCCAGCCCTTTACAATCACATACAGACACACAAGGATTCAGAAGCCAGACAGCTTTATTTGGGGGGCACATGTGGCACTTCTGGGTATGGGCTTTGCATGCAAACATGTCAAGCGGTGACATGTCACTTCTTCCCAAAGCGTTGAGGGGCAGCCAAGCTCCAGAACTGGGAACTCAGCCCCTCTCCAGCCCGGGGACTCAGCCGTTCATTGTTCCAGGTCCTCCGGGTATTTCTGCCAAACCTTAGGAGAGATTTGTTCTCATATGTAGGTCTCCTTCTCTGGCCCCCTTCCTTCACTTCCGCTGTCCCCTGCCCTTTCTTCCCCAGCTCCTACCATGCTTGTGTCCCTTTTAGACTTACCTCTGTGGCTGAAACAGGAAGGCTGGGCTCCGGCCAGGTCTCTCCATGGCCAGGAGCAGGGAGTGCAGGAGTGACCTGGGGGTCTGGGCATCTTGTGGTAGGAGAGGTCCATTGTCTTCCTCCTATAGTAAGGGGGCATCCGGGAAAGAAGGTGGGCAAATGCCCTGGACACTTTAAGTCACAAAGGGGAAGATTATAGGTTTTGAGGACTTAGTGAAGACCTTGGCAGCCAGAGAGTGCCTGAACCAAGTACTCAACTGTTAAAAGAAAAATGGTGACATGGGGATGGAGGTGTCACTTACCACGAAGACATGGTCTCCATCTTGGACCCCTGGACCTTCAGCGTGGCTCCAGTGCATTAACAGCAGCACCAGCAACACAGCAGCCTGCCTGGAATCCATGCTGCCATCCGCTTTCCTACAGCCACACCAGCCTCTTATACCTGCTGTCCCCAGTCCTCCACCCCCAACAGCAGCCTGGGGGAATCTAGCACAGGCAATGGAAATGCATGGCTCCATTAGGAGCCTCCTGGGATCCCCTCCTATGACCGCCTTGGGACTTCCTGCTCTCAGTCTCCAGCCCCTAGCCCCACGCCTGAGGTTATAGACTTTATTAGATGCATAAATCCTGTCTCCAGAGCTCAAGAAGCAACATTAATTGCAGATGCTTTGTCAGAGCCTGGCCCTGGGGAGCCTTTACAAGAACCCCCAATTCCTCAACAGGTTAGAGAGCTTCAATTTATCACCTTCCCTCCTAACTTGTAAACTAAATTCCTGTCAAGAGGGTTTAGGTACTATATGTTCTGGAAGAGAAGCTTCAAGAAGAGATGAGCCAGGGTCAAATCTGGCCAGGATGACACAGCTTGGTCCTCTCCCTGCTGGTGTCAGTGGTCAGGATCACATAGCTCTTTCCCACCTGTTTGGTGCCTTTTGGAGAGTTAAAAATGGAATCACTACTACAAGATTTTCTTGTCCATAGAAAAGTAAGATACAGAGGGAGACTAAAGGTTTCTGGAGCCTACAGAGAGTGGATGTGGCCACAAATCTTTGTAGATAGACCCAATATTCATCAGAAAGTGAGGCTTTGGGCCTGGCATGGTGGCTTATGCCTGTAATCCCAGCACTCTGGGAGACTGAGGCAGGGGGGTTGCTTGAACTTAGGAATTCAAGACCAGCCTGAGCAAAAGTGAGACCTGGGTCTCCACTAAAGAAATAGAAAAACAGCTAAGAGGATCTCTTGAGACCAAGAGTGGGAGGTTGCTGTGAGCTATGATGACACAGCACTCTACCAGGGCGACAGCTTGAGGCTCTGTCTCCCACCAAAAATAAAAAAAAGTGGGGCTTTAGACTGACATCCCCCTCCCTAGGAGCTGCCCTCCATAGCTGAATCGCTGCTGCCACCCTGTGGTCACAGCTCCTTACTGCCAGCGGTTCCCTTTTTCTACACTAGAGCTCTTTGAAGAGGAACCTGGAAGGGTGAAACAGAGTATAGGTCCCAGGGCCCTGACTCCCGAAAGTCCCAGAAGGGCAGGAGGGGGATGCTGTGGAACTGGACCAGCATGTATCTCACCTCGCCCTAGTCCCCACAGCAGTTTCCTTCTAATCCCAGACCTCGTGCCTGAGCACCCCCATGATGGTTCTCTAGCCTGTGCCAAAGAGGTACCATGACTTTTTTTTTTTTTTT